AAGATCACTTCGGAAACATTACCCGACTCTGCTCCTAGATTAGGGCGGAGACGTCTCAGGTGCCACACCAGTGGAGAGCGGTTTGTTTAAATGTAGCGGTGAATATTACTTGATTTGTTGAGTAACTCCTGAAAGCTTACTTCCACCTTATGGGGGGGGAGTCACCTGGACTGTCGCGTTTCCCATAATGTACTTCTTTTCGTTGTCAACTCAAATAGGTACCCATCAATGGGAAGGGCACAGCTGCGCTGACTCCGCCCATATACCAGCGCAGAATACGCTTTATGAGATTTGTAGAACCATAGTTGAAATGTAATGGAAATGCTGGTTGTGGCGCTATGTAGTGTATGAATGAGTGGTTCTCTGCTCCCTGATTTCCTTCAAAATTAAATATTATTGTATTATTAAATTAGGTGGATCCAGTACTACATTGCACGAAGGTACAACAATCACTTGATGCTACAGAAAACGAAGAAAGGAATGAAACAGATACCAGCCAGCAGGATTGAGAAGGGTTCCTGTTGGAAAAGCTTTGCTTTCTAGCAACTGGACCGCGTTTAGCGTGTTTGCGAATGTAATGACATTCACCGTTCCCAGCAGTGGTCCGCTTGGCCGGCAAAACCCGCGTCTAGCCCGAAACTCGAGTTTTTATACAACTACTCCTTTTTAGTCATAAAACAGCCTTCACGACTCATGAAGACTCTAAATGCGGTTTGAATTTTGGTTTTATCCCTTCACATACCTAATGAGGCGGAGGTGGTGTGGTGGCAACTGGCGCGCTTACCACTTCGCAGTAGGGTTCAAATCCCGGGTCGACTCCCGCCCAGGCCAACCAAGCCTTCTACCCTCCGGGGACGGTAAATTGGTACCAGATTCGTCTGGGAGGATAAACACTGACTTGTACATCGGCTGGCCCCGCAAGTCATTGTATAGGCCACATCGCATTCAATAAGCCACTACGATTCTGAATGGAAGTAGAATGCCGCATCCCACAAAGGGATTGATCAACGGCGAAGACTTTATCCTTTTATTACATCCACTTGTTCCAATCTCTCACCAGAATCATAGTGGGATCATTACATTGCATTGTTTCCAGGCTTTGTCTTTTCTTCCGCCCCTAAAGAAGTTTATGCTGCACTTTGAGCTCGGTGCTGCGCTAGTTAGAATATTAAGTGTTCCTGTTCCTTAAAAAGCAATCCCTGCGATTGCATATGTGGATAGTAATCTCAGGTCTTTCAAATAAGAACCTGTA